CAAATGTAAGAAATACGTCTATTTTGTTGGCTCAGCACACCCCCTGCCCCGCAGAGCTCCGTGCAATAGGAAACTGAGTGCCAACCAGAACTAACCAGTTGTGTTAGACTACCGCTTACTTGCTTAAATTTTAAGGAATACCTCGGCTGATGCAGAGCTTGTTAGATAAAAACTGACATTAACATTATTGAACTAATATTAATGTCTTGACTGTTAAACATCTGGTGTCTTACTAAACGTAGCTTCATCCTGATGAGAGTGAACTGAGACCCGTGCTTGGTGTGTATTCATTTCCTCTCCACTTTGCAAAGTCTAAACTGATTGTTTATGATTGGTATTGGTGTTGATCGATTGATTACCATAACCCCCTGTGCTTTAAACTTTCCCTAAGGTAATCTTGGATTGATAAAATTACCCAACAGAGCTGATGAACTTTTCATGGACAAGTAAGTCTCTGAAATATAAATATAGGAGAACAAAACATGACATGAGAATAATTCTCGTAAAACAACATGTTTTAGCTGTTTGTCGGCTACAGAAGCACATTTAAAAACAGAAACGTGAAGTCGCCATCTTAAAAAAATTGAAGGAGTGTGATATGCTTGTCAGCCACTAGATGGTGCCATCGGATAAGAGAAATACTCCGGGAAGAAGCTTTAAAGGAGATGTACAGTTGGATGTCATCTGCATAAAGATGGTAGGAGATTCCTTTGAAGGAGCTCAGGATGTGCTGAAGATGAAGCAGATAGAGGAGGAAGAGTAGAGGCCCCAGCACAGAACCTTGTGGGACACCATGGGTAAGGGAGGTGGTGGAGGACCTAAACTTGGAGACGGCCACAGAGAAGGAGCGCTCAGAGAGATAAGAGGAGAACCACTCCAGAGCAGATCCTGATAGGCCTACCCAGTCTCTCAGCCTCTCCAGTAGCAGGTGATGGTCAACAGTGCCAAAGGCTGCAGTCAGGTCCAGCAGGACCAGAACAGAACAGTCCCCTGCATCACTGTGGGTCAGAAGGTCATTGGAGACACTAAGAAGAGCTGTTTCAGTAGAATGAGCTCTACGAAAACCTGACTGGAAGCTATCATAGATGTTATGTTCATCAAGAGCAGCTGTGAGTTGTTTAGCCACAACCTTTTCCTTTTTTTTTACCGTGTCCTGTCTGGCTGTGAAGCAAACAGAATTGATGTCTGAATGCTGGTGACAAGCCTTACAGATTTACTCTCAGGTGGAACATCAAAGCGTCTGCTTTTAATGTCACGCCTGATACTTAAAACTTTATTGTTATTGTTTTTGAATGCTTTGTAATTCCGACCAGACACGGAGTCAGAGGTGAAAGAGAATGATGAACAAGAGTCTGCTTCTAGACCTGCAGAAAAGGGACACACAACAATACATCAGGAGCAAGCTATCACTGCATCAACCTGATGAGGAAATATAAAATCAACATTGTTTTACTGAACAATCATGATAATGAACCACAGTGCATTTAGTGCCAACCACAGACTTAAGACCTGTGTTGAACGTGCCCAAGTCCATACTTATGAGAGCACCTGTGTGTGTACACGCGCTTGTTTATGTAAGGTTTCTCTATAGGAGCGTCCAACAGAGAGTGTGAGGGACCACAGATCTGCCCCCCAAAGATGTGTAGGAGATGGAAGGAGCTCCAAGTCCCAGAGATCCAGGAGCTGTCCCAGAGCGCAGGGACCCCCAGGGAGACTGCGACCAGAAAAGCCCCTGCCCCCCTCGAGAGGCGCAGAGGATCGCCCCAGGAGACCACAACCGGCAGCTAGCAGAGTCCCGGGAGATATCAGTGGCAAGCCCACAGGCCCGCCTGCAGCCTCCCTCCCCCCAGCTGGCCGAGTCCAGAACCCAGTGACCCGGGACCCAGATCCCACCAGGCAGCCACCGGGATTGATCAGGCAGACTCCAAAAATCTTAAACCCCCTGACCCGGGAGCCACAAACACTTAGGCAGACCAAGACACAACACTCCACACAGGTGTGGCACGGGGAGGGGAGACGAAGATGTATAGTCCCAGGAGAGGGGAGGTCCCGGGACCTTTTCCAAGATCTTGGAGATGAACGGAAGTTTAGAGATGGGTCTGAAGCTGCTATGGAGAGAGGGGTCGAGACTCGGTTTTTTAAGAAGCGGGTGGATTACAGCGTTCTTAAAGTAAGCAGGGACCTGACCAGAAACCAGAGAAGCATTAATTATAGAGAGCACGCTGGGACCGATGGACTGAAAAGCACTTTTAAACAAAGATGAGGGTAAGATGTGGAGGGGGCATGCAGAGGTCTTCATAGAGTTAACTAGTTTGGTTAACTCAGGCAAAGAAACAGGAGCAAAGCTATCTAGGATGATGGGCCTGGTTGGAGTCGGGAGAGGCGGCGATAAGGCTGAAGGAGAGATGCTAGATCTAACCTTACTGACTTTGTCCACAAAGAAAGACAGAAAGTTCTCACAGTCTACAACAGAGTGGATGGAGGCTGTAGGAGAGGCAGGAGAGACGATGCTGCTGATGGTGTTAAACAGCACCTTGGGGTTCCCTTTGCTCTGGGACACCAGGCTGGAGAAATAGGAAACCCTAGCATCTCTGACTGCAGAGTTAAAGGATGTCAGAAGATCCTTTAGATGCAGCAGATGGACGTGGAGATGGGTTTTCTTCCACAAACGCTCAATTTTTCTGCATTGGCGCTTCAGGCTGCGAAGGCTGTCATTAAACCAGGGAGTAGGGTTCACTGCAGGAACTCATCTGGTTCTGACAGGACAGATGTTGTCCAGAATGGAGAGGCAGTGACCTCCTCTCTTTTCTGTGAGTCCTGACTTTACAATGTCAGCGAAAATACCAACTTCATTATAATAAATGTATGCATTTATTCGTGGTAAAACGCCACAGTTAATGATTGATACGAGAGCACCATTGGAATTGTGCTTTGACTTTACTTTGGTAGCCAGTTAGATTAAGGTTAGTGCTTTGTAATTTAATCATCTGTATGTAAAAGACCCTAGCAAACACTAATCTGACTGAAACCAACACGAAGCTGCAGCTCAGAGTGTCAGCAGCAGTGTCATCACCAACACATCTGGGTTCACTCTGGTCCCTCACAGATCACATCTGGAGATGAATTCCTGCGTACCTTTATCTCTGACCCAAATCATTACTCAGCACAAGATGATCCCGTCTGGATCTGTGGGACCAGCAGGATGCTGAATGAACACTGAATGGAAAAGTCAGCCGTCTGCTGCTCAATGATCATTCATACAGGAAGTATATGAAAACTCCCCCGGGGGGGGGGGGGGGGGGGGGGAGACACGTGGGCTCCTTACAAAACACCTGCCTCCTCAGTGTTGGAGCTTGTACACACACACACATCTGTTTTTCTATCTTAGTGAGGACCCTCCATTAACTCCCATTCATTTGTGTGGCTGTATTATGCTTAACCCTAACCACACACACACACACACACACACACACACACACACACACACACACACACACACGCACACGCACACACACACAAGCTGGAGTTCATCAGAACTTCTGACCACGTGTGTCTGAGACCTCTTGGTATTTAGATGCAGAAACTTGAACATCCTGTGGTAAATTCTGGTTGCTGCGACCACTTTAAACAACTCCGGAGCTTTTGGCCGCCCGTCGTCAAATTACAATAGTGGGTGCTGCAGTGTTAGCTGTCAGGAGACAGGACACCCCCACCCTCACTGATGGTAAACAGTAGTTACGTCCCTCCTTCCTTTGTTTTAGGAGAAAAACCGACAGTCCAGCAGCCAGCTGGATATGAAGCATGTTACATATAACCTTCCTTCCTAAGCGACTAGTTTGTGGGGTTTACTTTATTATTTGGAAGGATACCAACTTTTATATCTATATGTATGATTGCCTGAACCCAACAACAACAACAATGATGATAATAATAATATCATCATGGCCCCCCAGACTCTGGACCTCTCTCCCCCTGAGCCTGAGATCAGAGGACTCAGTGGTCTCCTTTAAAAAGCAGCTGAAGACTCACTTGTTCAGGCTTTGGTGTGACCTTCATCACCTCTCTCTCCTCATTCCACTGGTTTCCCTCTTTCCTATTTATTTATTTTCTCCCTTCCTTTCCTACATTTTTAAATCACAATTTTTATTTTTTTCTCATTTTAAACATATTTTTAAACATTTATTGAAATCTTTTTTATACTTTAATTTGTTTTGTTTTTGTGAAGCACCTCCTGATTTTTATCTTGAGAGGCACAACAGAAAATATTGTTTTCTTTCTTTCTTTAATACTAATAATATTAACAACAACAATAATAATGATAATAATAAATGTTATTGTTTTTACTGCCAATGTTTTGAGGCAGAAATTTAGTTTGATGAACATTTTATTTTTAAAAAAACTACGTTTTTGAACATTTTGTACTTTCCAATCCAATCCAATGTTATTTATAGAGCGCATTCACAAGGCATTACAACCAAACAAGGCGCTGTACACTAAAAATGTTAGTTAATTAAACAGGTAAAAAAAAAGTTTATACAAACATGTCGAACACAGATAAAAGATAAAAAGGAAATACAACAAAATTCCCAAAACAAACAGCAAAAATAAATAAAACACAGGGAGAATAAAAAATTAGAAAAATAAATAAAAGAAAAATCAAGTGCAGACATTTCTTATATTAATCAAAATCCAGAAGATCGTAAATTAAAACCCAGTTTTCCTGAATACCGTGCATGCCAAAAACAGGAATGTGCAAGTGCAATGGTGCTAGTACTAGTATAATTCTCCTTGGTGCTGCTAGTAGTACTATAGTAGTACTAGTTTTCATCGTTGAGCTCTGATTCAGAAAAATGAAGCTCATTCTCGCCTCGTCTCCACTTCTCCTCTCAGGTTGTGAAAAGTGCCTCGTGTCATCGCGGTCCCGCCGCGAGCACCGGGGAGGAGCACCGGGAGGATCTGTGGGGAGGGGGGAGGGATTTGAGCTAACGGGTCTGCGGTCCCATTCTCGAAGCTCCGCTGCGCCAATTCCGCGGCGCACACGCGCGCCTCCCCCCTACTGTAACGCAAGGCAGCGCGCGCCTACGATGTTGTGAATGAGGGAATGAGGTGACGTCAGCGGCCGAATGTCAACAATGTAGCGACTGAGAGTAGGCGTTCCAGTCGAGTGTAACAAACAACGGAGACGGAGCGGCACGCCGCGCGGGAGCACGGCGCACACTCACACACATCCACACGCGCGCGCTCGCGCACGTTCATGACACACGCTGTTTTGTATTTTTATACCGTTAAAAGCGAGAAGAATAATCCGGGACGTGATTGGTCTGTATGCGCCGAGAGGCTCCGAGGAGACGGCGGAGCGGGTCATCATGTGAAAGAAGTTCTGTTGGACCGACGGGCTGGAACACACGAACCAGAAAGCAGAAGGTAAGCAGCCTGCGCGGCCACTGCCCACACCGGGACCCGCCTGGGTCCGCCGTGTCCCAGTTTTACTGTCAAACTGGAGCAGAACCGCGGCTGGACCGAACCACCAGGTCCCCGCTGGTTCTGGAAGGAGTCAGATAGAGAGAGAAGCACGAGTGAGAAACCGCACGCTTGGTGCGAATATTACTATATTACTGAGTGTGTGTGCGCGCGCGCGTGGGTGTGTAGGGGTGTGAACGCGGGTTCAGGAGTGAAACACAACTCCACCACATCCTGTTGTGCTTTGAGTCAACGCGGCGCGCGCTGCCTTTTCCTCAGTTTGTTCAGGTTTCGGTGCTGCAGGAATCCCGAACAGCGCGGTCTTTAAACGCATCACTCGGTCTTTAAACGCATCACTCAGGCATTAACCACAGTCTGTTTTGTTCAGACTGCACCATTCTCCTCTTTGTTTTGGCTTCATGTTCTACTCTGGGTGGGAGCACACACACACACACACACACACACACACACACACGGCTCCATATTTGCTGCGTAAGCTGGGTTGGTTCCGATGGTCCAGGTCGGTTCCGTCACAGATCCGTACGTGAGCGTCGGTGTAAATCAGCTGCGAGTCAAACAGCGGCGTCATGTGAGTGATGCTGCAGTGAGGCTTAGTCACCCCCACCCCCACCCCAAGGTGGACGGTGTGTGTGTGTGTGTGTGTGTGTGTGTGTGTGTGTGTGTGTGTGTGTGTGCGTGTGCGTGTGCGTGTGCGTGTGTGTGTGTGTGTGTGTGTGTGTGTGTGTGTGTGTGTGCGTGTGTGTGTGTGGCAGTGCAGATTTTGATTTATTCAGGATGAATGATGTTCCCTCCGCTCAGACTAATTGTAGCTGCTGCCGTCTTTGTTCACTACATCACAGAATGAGGAGCTGCGTGCACGCTCGCGCGTGAGAGATGCCATGCTAATGACGTGAAGGCAGCATTCTGCTATCTGATCTTCCTCTCATCTGAGATGATGAAGAGGAGTGATGCTGCAGTGAGGCAGCAGTCTGAGGAGCGGTGACACCCTCAGCATCCCGCAGCATCCTTTGTCTCCCACAATGCTGATGCAACGGAAGGGGGGGGGGGGGGGGTAAGGGGGCCCGCACCCCCCACCCCCGCGGTCCCGGTCCTCCCCCCGGAGCCTGATGAGGACGTTTCTAATCGTTGTTGTTTAAAAAGATAGCTGACGTAAACATCACATCTTCACTGACTCCGCACGGCTTCACAGCACGTGCGTGGAGGCTGCAGACATGCGCAGTGTCACCCACGGAGCCCTTTGTTCTGCACGCGCTCCCGTTCCGAGCATCTCTCCTGTTTATTGTGAGGAATCAGGGTTTTGGGGGAGGGGTCGGATGGAGCCGCAGTGACTCAGGCTTTAACCCGCAGCTCCACGGGAGCATGGCCTGGATCGTTGTTCTGATAACAACAATTATTATTATTATTATTATTATTATTATTATTATTATTATTATTATTATTATTATTATTATCAGAAGCTTTGGTGGCCCGCTGTAGTCACGAGGTTCTGGTCCTATTGGGCTCTAGGATGGAGATAAAAGCACCATGCACCACTGCTACGTAGGTTATTACATCCTTGCATTTTCTAAGTTCTGAATAGCTGTCCACTGTGACCTCTGGGGTTAAAGGTCATAGGTAAAATCCTGTGAATGGAAAAGAAAATCTGCAAATGACCTGTTCATGAAACATCCTCTAAAAGGTTATTGTAGAATCAAACAAGGTGCATCAGACTTTAGTCGGACACAAAGGAGCGTGTTGCAGAGGTGTTGCATCACGGTTTCTGATTGGTTCTTCTGCCTCCGTGGCTGCAGGAGCTGGAGCTTCAGCACCAAACGGGGGAAAATGAGAAGAATCTTTCTGAACATTCCCTTCACACCTATGGATTTTTATGTTTCTGTGGTGTTTTGTGTGATGATGGAGGTGAGAGCCAACATGTAACGGATGTGTGTGGACGCTGGGTCAGAGGGGAGATGAGTGGAAGTCATCAGTCCTACGGCCGACAGGCGGAGTTTCCTACAAACGCACACGAGTGAGACAGAATCACTAATCATTCATTAATAGAGGATCAGTGCTTATGGATGAAAGACTGACCAGCAAGAGATGATCTCACAGCATCCCTGGAGGGGGTTTAAAACTGTCATGTTCCTGTTTTAAATCCTTTTCTTGAGCCAGGATGTGCTAAAATGACCCTTTACAGGGTTAACCAAACACCACTCGGCCCTCGTGGCCGGAATACCACGCTGGCAACTTCAGAGTGTCCGGACTGCTCGCAGATATTGGGAAAGTAGGATGTCCAAGGAAGATCCCAACTTTCTCACCTCTGATTGGCCATCTCATTTAGCAGCAAACCGTCTTCCCTCGCTAAGTGTAGCCTGCGCTGCCACCAACAGAACAGCTGTTTAGGGGAGTTTATGATCAAAATGACAACTTAGCGCTACGATAACTAGTCTGTCCTGTTAGGTTTGCTTGAGAGCTAACACACAAAGTCAGCCTAACAGTGTGATGAATGCAGCGAGACTCATTACAAGTTCACATTTGACGTTTTTCAGGTTCTTTTCTAAACTGGATGGTTTGTTGCAGAGCGGGACAGAATGGTTGTTGTAGCACCAAGCTCACGTTTTCTCCACACAACTCCCCAAATGGCTGCAGACATGCAAACAAGGAGGACAGCCTGCACTTAGCAGGGGAGGTGGTTTGAAATAGCCAATCATCGGAGAGCCCTTCCAGCCAATCAGAGGCAACAAAGGTGAGACCTTCCTTGGAAATCCTACCTTTCTAATACTCGCGGACGACTGCCCAAAGTCTCGTGTCTTACGTGAAGCATTAACACTTTACGCTACTCCATGTTTACACCTGTGCAGGGGCGGCGTTAGGCCCGGCTACTTGGGCTGAAGCCCCGGATCTTCTTCAGTCCTAAATCCGCCCCTGCACCTGTGAACAGACGAGCTGTTAGCGATCATGGTATCGTGTTTATTGTTGTGGAGCCTCAGAGGAAACTAAGAAGACATGCATCTGCTGGAACTGAAAAGATTAATAGAGCATCCGACCACAGCAGGAGTCATACTAGAGTCAACATCGGGACTTTTCGGAGACAAAGGATTCAAACTGGGTGCAGACGTGACAATCGTCCTATTGTTCTTATTAACACAGCTTTATAGAGCAATGCCTAAATCAACCTTCTTATGCTGATGACCTGCAGACGTATCTAATAGTGCCGTAGACATGTGGGCTCGTTAGTTTGGTATTTTTGTGCATCTCATTTAAATTTTCAGCCAAAAACTGTATCATGGCCTTCAGATTTGTGGCTGTTTATCAGTGGGTGACCTCTGACCTTTACATATTATACATATTTTATTGTGACAATGATCTATTGAAATAATTTAAATAGAGAACCATCAGTGTGATTATCTGAAAAAATCAGAAAATGAGGATTAGACGGTCCCTGTGCTCGGAAAATAAACCTCCAGAATTTACCAGGAGATTATTAGAGATCACTTCACATTCGGCCGCGGCTGGGATGAGGATCAGCACCTCCAAATCTGAGACCATGGTTCTCGACCGGAAAAGGGTGGCTTGCCACCTCCGGGTCGGGGGAGAGGTCCTACCTCAAGTGGAGGAGTTTAAGTATCTCGGGGTCTTGTTCACGAGTGATGGTAGGAGGGATCGGGAGATCGACAGGCGGATTGGTTCGGCGTCTGCAGTGATGCGGACGCTGAGCCGATCTGTCGTGGTGAAGAGGGAGCTGAGCCAGAAAGCCAGGCTCTCGATTTACCGGTCGATCTACGTCCCAATCCTCACCTATGGTCATGAGCTTTGGGTAATGACCGAAAGAACGAGATCGCGGATACAAGCGGCCGAAATGAGTTTCCTCCGTAGGGTGGCCGGGCTCAGCCTTAGAGATAGGGTGAGGAGCTCGGACATTCGGGAGGGACTCGGAGTAGAACCGCTGCTCCTCCGGATCGAAAGGAGCCAGTTGAGGTGGTTTGGGCATCTGGTCAGGATGCCTCCTGGACGCCTCCCCGGGGAGGTGTTTCGGGCATGTCCTGCCGGCAGAAGGCCCCCGGGTCGACCCAGGACACGTTGGAGAGGTTACATCTCCAATCTGGCCCGGGAACGCCTTGGGGTCCTGCCGGAGGAGCTGGTGGACAAGGCCGGGGAGAGGACGGTCTGGAGCTCCCTAGTTGGGATGCTGCCCCCGCGACCCGGACCCGGATAAGCGGAGGAAGACGAGACGAGACGAGACGAGATTATTAGAGATCATCACGTAATTATTATTAATTATTATGAAACATCAGAATACATATGATAATAAATGCTGTAAGGTTCATGAGGGTTATCGTGAGTGATGCTACAGTTCCTTTAAGGTGCTGAAGAAGAGAGAAGCTGAACGTTGGAGATGCAGGTTTATCTCAGCTGTTTGTTAAATCGCTGCTGAGGACAAACGGTCATCCTGTCTGGTGTTTTAGTTCAGCACAAGTATCACAATAAAAGAAATGACCTTAAATGACCTCACCTTTGTAATACGGCTGCTTCTGGTGCGCCGGGTGCAGATCTATTAGAAGTAGAAGCGCTCCTGCAGGCCGCTGCTGCAGAGACCAGAGACGATCTCTGATGGATGATAGAAAATAACGTTTGCTCGTTCTCCTGAGTGGTGAGTCAGCTGTGTGTGTGTGCTCGTGTTCACGTGAGTGTGCTTGTTAACGACTCGCTTTTCTGACTGAGAGACTCCGAGAGCACGTGGGGGGTTTTGGCGGGTGTTCGCAAACACTGCCTCAGTGCCGCTCGTTCGGTCTGCCAGGCGATGCCGCCTTTAGACGAATTTTTCTAACAGGAAGTGTGGGTGAAGTAAGACTCCACCCAGGGTGTGATTCTCCCTTTAACATCTTTTGTTTGTGCGTGTTTTTACTTTCCTCAGGTTTGTAATTATTTCTAAATATGTGTGTCGGATGGTAGTGATCCCACCG